ACAAACATTAAAAACAAAGAAAACAACACACAGTTTACCAGCACATTCCCTACAACCATCTTAAATAAAGTAAAAGAGTGACCAAGCAACATGAAAATATTCGTTCTTCAACTCCCTCCCCACCTCTCTCGTCTTCTTATTTCTTGAAATAAGTGTCAAAAGTGGGTTATTTCTGCAGAGCAGATGCAGCCAAAGGCACCGGAGGAAAAGACATCTGGGTTGCATCCACACTGCAGAAATAATAATCCATTTTGACACCTCTTTAACGGCCATGGAATTCTGGGAACTGTAGTCTTAGGAGATATTTAGCCTTCTCTGTTAGAGTGCTCTAGGGCTGCAACAAACTCAATTCCATAGCATTGAACAATGGCAGTTAAAGTGGTGTCAAACTGGATTATTTCTGCAGTGCGGATGCAGCCCTGTGGATGCTAATTATGGATTGCATTTCCTTATTTTGCTCAAAGACATTCAAAACATGCTGGGTCCAACACACACTGCAGAAATAATCCAGTTTGAGACAGCTTTAAGTGCCCTGGCTCAATGCTATATAGATGATGATGATGATAATAATAATAATAATAATAATAATAATAATAATAATAATAATAATTGTATTTATAGCCCGCCTCTCCCTGCAGATCGAGGCGGGTTACAACAAATAGGAATAACAATAAAATACAAATATACAATTAAAACCAGATTTCTAAAGAACCCTTACTCCATAAAAAAGAAAAAGTAGCCAACTAAAAACAATAACAATATAAAATGAATAGCCATATAAAATACTAATTCAAAGCAAAATGCTGGGACCTGTAGTTTTGTGAGACACTGAGCCTTCTCTGAGAGAGAGAGAGCTCTGGTGCCACAATAGATTTCAATTCCCAGGATTCCCTAGCCCTGAGCCAGGGCAGTTCAAACTAGATGATTTTTGCATATTTCTGGATTATTTTGGACCTCTGTCACACTGCCCATTCCTCTGTGTTGACCCCAGTTGACAATTACCAGTAAGAAACTGGATATACGCTTTACTGTACACAGTCAATGTTGCAGATGCTAAGTCTACAACTGTAGGGGCCTGTTTTAAATAATAATAATAATAATAATAATAATAATAATAATAATAATAATAATAATAATAATAATAATAATTTGTATACCGCCCTGTGGCGAACCAATCCGGGCAGTTGACAACAGTAAAATAAACAAGAGTAAAATATAACATTATATAATAATAATAATAATAATAATAATAATAATTTGTTTGTTTGTTTGTTTATATCCCACCTCTCTGTAAAATACAACCGATGCAGCTTACAAGATAAAGCAAACAATCCCATCCCCCAATACCCCCTCCCCAAAAAATACAATTAAATACAATTAGTTTTCTGTGAAATAGCATTAATTAGACAGAAATACATTTTTGGGACCAAATGCAATTCAATGTATGAAGCTGTCTTGGATCTGGCTAAGTGTATGATTTGGAGTGAACCAAATTTTATTGTAAAATGTGCAATCATCATTCTTTATTCTTTCTCTCATATTATATATAGACTATTATTGGCATGGGTATATGTAATAAGTGAATAATAGGTATACCTCATTTAACAAAGTAAATGTATCCCTGGGCATTATTTTTTTTCACAGAAAAACTGGTACCGGAGGCAGAAATAACATGTCAAGAACAGAGATTGCTTCCTGCGCCACAATAAAGAAGAGAGATTGAACATGTTTCCGCAAACCTTTTATTTAAAACTCACAATATGGACCTCTGTGAAATGCAACAGCCATGTCAGGTAAGCATCAGTAGACAAACACATTTTGAATCATCTCCAAACCATTTGTAGGGTCTTCTCTTGCAAACTGCACCCAGGATTGATTTTTATTCCCCTTCCACCAGCTTCTACTTTTCTTATAGTTTTTGTTTTGGTGGCCAAACTTAGATCTAGATTTTAATAATAATAATAATAATAATAATAATAATAATTTATCCCACCCCTCTGCAGCGCAAGATTTTGTTTTTTAACATGCCGGGGGCAACTGTTGAATAAGACTGATCTCCTCTTTTCCTTCTGTTTTGTTGTACATACATGCTCAGTAAGGAATTCTGGGGGCAGCTGCTATTTAACCTTGCCTTTTTTGCAGATTTATGTAAATACTCGTTATATCGAGCAGAGCTATTTTTGTTGAGCTACAGCCCCTAGAATGGTCAGATCATCTCAAGTGGAGCAGAAAAGCAGGACCAGCATTTTATCATAAATATATCTGAAATATATGGGGTATTTTGTTGAAGCAGCTGTGCAGAGGGAGGTAGATGAAAGCCGCTTGGATTGATTTCATTAAGCGGGATATAAATAAATTTTATTATTATTTATTAATTTGAGGAATTCTTAGTATATCCTGCTTCCTACTGGTCACAGCAGATGACTACCCAGCATGGTATATGGCACAGCATGGTGTATGTGTTTGTATGCCTGATCTTAAGATCTAGAATGATCCTAACTTTTTGGTTAAAGCACAAGGGATAAATCATGTTCCATGACATAAAAGGAAATGTGCATGGGGAGGGAAAAGGAAAAATAAGGTACAGGTTCTCAGTGTTCCTTAACCTGGTGACATAGCTTCTGGATGACAATTGAGGAGAGGCAAAGCCTGATGGGGCTGCCTTCTGAGAAGAGCTGGTCTTTGCTGTGTTTTCCTTTCCCCCCTCAATTTCATAATAATTTACTCTGTTATTTCCATCCACAGGTAATATTATGTAAGGGACTTGTGAAAGCTGCATTCTTTGAGGTTGAGCCAAAGGATGTGTTTGTAGCCTGCCTTTGATTTAATTTTCTTCTATTACTCCATATTATTACACTCCTTTTGTGTCGCTCTTCCAAACAATCCCTCCCCATCCTTGGTAAATATGCTCTTCATGAAATGTCACATCCTTCCTTAGCTAGCCATTTGGCCAAGCAATACATATTCAGCTTTTTTAATCTTCCTCCATAAATCACTGTCCCCCAAGTTCTGGCAGTGTTGAGTATAGTCTAATGCAGCCCATGAAATTCACAGGCCGATAAGAGATTTACTGCCATTTCCCTGCTGTTTGGGACACTCATAACAGCAATTATTATTATTTTATAATTTGTAGAAGGTGGCAGGAAGCATGACAGTTGAATGTTCTAAGGTCTGTTTCCTGCATTTGCTTAATTATTTTATTTTCAGGTTGTTTTATTAATTCCCTAGCCTGAAAGAACAACCAAGAAGACTCTGGTCTACAAAAGCTGTAGTTTTTCTGTTAAAAATAGTTATTTTGCATACAGTCATCTTCATTGTTTTCTGTTAAATATGACCTTTCGTGTGTGTTATGTGCCTTCAAGTTGCCTTTTGATTTACATTGGTTTCATGAATCGATCTGTAAGGAGAGGCGGGAAATATAAATTATTATTATTATTATGAATTTCATGGAGTTTTCCTAGGCAAAGGAGTATTCAGTGGTGGTTTTACCAGTTCCTTCCTCTCAAATATAGCCCACAGCACCTGGTATTCGTTGGCACTCTCCCATCCAAGTATTAATTGGGGTCGACCCTGCTTAGCTTCCAAGATTATATGGGATCCATTGCCTTTATGGAATTTAGGCAATATAATCTTCTGTAGCCAGAAGAACTGAGCATTTGAGAGTTTAAAAATGACATAGCTATCGTTGTTATGAAACAACACTTGTATGGTGTTTGTCAGTATAGTTTGGCATACATGTATTTATATCTATATAAATGTATGTATGTGGATGCAGACAGATGCACCCTTGGAGAAATGAACAAGGCATGCTGTCTGTGCATTCTGGGAGTTGTAGTTCAAAGAACAAAATTTCCAGGCTTTGGACAAATCAGAGGGCTACTAGCCATGCTAGCCAGAAATTCTGGGAGCTGTAGCTCAAAACAGTGCCCTTTTTCATTCTCTGGGTTACCTCAAGTAATTTTCCTAGGTTCTGGATTAGCCCTCAATATTAAAAAGGCTCCCTCTCCCACTTTAAACTGTTTGGGTTTGGATGTTCTACTCCAAAATAGGAGAAATGAAACAGACAGACACAAGAGACCTACAAGGACAGAACAGTACAAGAGACCTTTTTCTGCCTTATTGGTGGCAGCTCAAAAGTTTTAGAATACCATCCCTGCAGAGAGAGATCAACAGGACCTCGCACTTTCAGTGTGCTCCGAAAGCCTGTCACATCCCTCCCAAGTACGCACCTGATGTTTCACAATTTGCTGCTGTGAGACAATTATGTTGAATAAAGCTGCCTGTCACTGCTGTTTTTCATCTCGTCAGTTTTGATTTTAGATATGGATGGAACTGTAGTTGCATTTATATTTAGAAGCTTATTATGTTAGCCCTCTTAGATGACTTAATATAGAAAGGCAGGATATACATTATAAACATTTATCACATATCTCCCCTTAACCGAGGTGAGAAACATGCACACCTCCAGATGTTGTTGAATAGCAGCACCAACTTAGGGTTGCCAATTCAGAATCATTCTAGGCCCTGAAGTTTCCAACCCAAAACCTGAGACCTAGGACTGACTAAAGAGGTTGTTCCCAGATCAAGATGAAATTAAGGTATTATTAGGGAATTAGATAGGATAAGTAATTTAGCTTACTTGCTCCTAGCCAGAAGGTGGTTTTAGAGCAGAGTGGAGGGTGAGCCCTGGGACCATAATGACAGCAGGATGGAGGACATTCACTCAATAAATACATAGACACCCCTCCCTGAGAGTCTTTGCGAGTTGCAGCGACAGATCAATTATGCTTTGCAGTTTGTAGCGAGCTGCTGCTCTACTAGCTGAGATGGAGATTTCTTTTTGTTGGTGGTGTGCCTTGAAGTCATTTCTGACTTACAGTGATCCTAAGATAAGCCTATGATGGGTTTTTGTGGCAAGATTTGTTCAGAGGGAGTTTGCCTTTGCCTCTCTCTGAGGCTGAGAAAGTGTGACTTGCCCAAGGTCACTCAGTGGGTTTCCACGGCTGAGCAGGAATTTGAACCCTGGTCTCCAGAGTCATAGTCCAACACTTAAACCATTACACTATGCTGGCTCTTACAGTGATTTGTACCCAGTCCTTTCCTCTTGCCAAGAGTCGAGTCACCAAAACTGGAGAATTTGCACCACTGCCCACCTGGAGATGACCTATGAAAACTGGAGACTCATAACCTGTTCCCATAATCCCACTGACTATTCTGACAAGGGCTGCTGGGAACTTGTAGTCCAACCTCTAGAGTTGTATGACTCCCACCTGCTTTAATGTGATTCCACCTCCAGCAAGGACTTGCTACACAATGGGAATTCTGCCCCATTATGTAGTTTTGGTTTCTTTTGAAATGGCCCAGTGGGATTACTGGTCAACCTTAAGAGCTGGAGTGGAAAGTATCTAATGGAAAGAGTGCCAACTTTTCACAGTAAGTTTAGTTTTGGATTGCCACTCCTTAATAATATATGTGTATGTGTTTTCTTAGGGGAAAGGGCTTGCATAGAAATTAAAGCCAATTTGGGCACTGAAGAGATTAAAAACAACCTTTCTAAACACAAGTCTCTGCAAACTCTCCAAAAATAAATATACCCCCATTTCATATTTCCCTTTTCTCTCTTCCCACTTCATGTTTGTGTAATTTTTGTACCATTTGGATGTGTGGGATGGGCAATTCTCTTTGTTTTCTACAGATTATGTTGTGTAGCCTTTCACACACACACACAAAAAAAATCAAACAAAATTATATACCAGGAAAAAAAAAACCCAAAACTGGAATGACACTGTTCAATTTGTATCGAAAGGAAGCTTTTGATTCCACCAGCAGCATATTTTAATCCACTGTAAAATTACTTTGGGCTAAGCTTATTTCCCTGATATCAAAACCTCTCAACAGGATGACTCACTCACAAAGCTTTTTACTTACTAACAACTATCCATCTAGGAGCAGATTATTTGTCAGTCCCTTTATCCTTAAAATGAATTTAAAGTCCCCATTTGACAGTCTTCATTCCCTCGGGGACTTCAAGAGGTGTGAATTCAAAATGAAACCTTTTGTCTTTTATAGGTTGTATGAAATATTTTTCTCTTCTTCCCCCCCCCTTTCATTTGATCCTGTGAAGGAAGGAACCCAAAAAATCCTACAATCCAGAAATACATGCATCCAAGCAAAGATGCTTGTGCGTGTGTTTTTAATTTATTCTGGCTTTGAATGTTTGACTGAAGCCAAGAAAGGGAGAGAGAAAAAAATATCTGGATTTAAAATCTATTTATCTCAAATGGGACCACTTAAGACATAGAACCAGACAGTTCTAAGTAGAACCTAATAGTTTACCCCAGCCTGGTGGTTTCCCAGATGTTTTGGATTACAAGTCCCATCACTCTCTTCAGCCTGTACAACTCCCTGCCAATGAGGCCAACCTGATCTCATTCCAGATGTTCATTTGCAAGCAAAGATCTGAGTCATTTGGCAAATTCGGCTGGCTTGCAGCAGAAGTGGCTCATGACCAGGATGGTGTAGTTTTCCCCTTTAATCAGGGAAGGGGAATACATTTTATTCAATTTGTTTTATCTTTTAATTCAACTCAGAAAGAACGCTGTCCTTCTGAGATACAGGATCTGGACAATGGCAGTGCTGGATGCAAATAGGACAAAATTAAGGAAAGAAAATGTAAACCAGACCTCTCTGGCTGAAATGGAACAAAAACACAGAAAGCATTACATTCTAAAAGGGGTTAATTTTTTGTTTTGCTTTTTCTAGCTCTAGCAAGGTGGCAGAGTTCTTCTGGATGCTTTTTCTGTGGCAGCTGAGAGATCTGAGGGGAAAGGCAAAAGAGAGGGATCGCTAGCGCTTGTGAAGAGGAGCTGGGGGCGCAGCACACACCAAGTTTGTAGCTAAACTTTCTAAGTTTCTTGAACAGAATTCTGCACAGCTGCCAGGTGTGTATTTAAGACTGCACAAAGATCATGAAGAAGACTGCAGGTCAAAACTGCCCAGGTTCCTGTGTTTTCTACCCATTGTGAAGAAAGAAAAGGAGAACGATTTGGCAGGTGCAGCTCTTTCCTGCTTGTTTTACAACCATTTGTTGTTGTGTGCCTTCAAGTCATTTCCAACCCATGTTATCCATAAGGGGACCCTATCATGGCGTTTTCTTATCAAGATTTGTTCTGAGGAGGTTTGCCATTGCCTTCTCCTGAGTTTGAGAGCATGCGACTTAACAAAGGTTGCCCAGTGGGTTTCATGGCTGAGCGTTGAGCTGAGTCCAGCAGTATCTCTGAGAGCCACCTTTGGTATAAGCTGTATCTCTAGTTTCCAAGAGACTCTTGTAGCTCACCCTTTGACTCCACCTGACCTGCCCTCCTTCCCATCTTCTTGGATCATTCATTGTCCACCATTGTTCTTCCCTCATCCATTTGCTCCTGTAGTAAAAATATCATGGGACCTGCTTAGGTTCTGGTTTTATTCAGCTGTCCATCATTTGCTTTTCACTGTAACTATCTGGGCAAGTAAAAAGAGATCTGATTCATCCAGCCACACTTCTTATCAGACAGAAATTTTTATTCTATTTTACATCTCTGAGTATTACTGAAATGAAATCATGACAAGTGCCTTGTAATATTTAGCTCCAGATGAAACCAAAACCTAACGGTAAAACAAAAACAAAACAAGACAAAAAAGCCAAGGAAAAATATTGGAAAACGAAAGAAATGCACATGATGGGAAATTCAGTAAACATCATTTAAAAGCATGGACAGCAGGGAGAGGGAAAAAATAAGCGCTGTTTGGGATTCAGAATTTTGCAGACACTTTCTGATCAGTTATGGCAACAAGACTGCTTATGATGTGAATCATCTTGGGGGGTGGAAGAGTGCAAATGGGAAAGGTGATAAAAATCAATTGCATATAAAAAGAGGAGCACAAGGTCGACAGAGATGAGAAGAGTGGCACAAACCAACATCTGTTTTATGGCAAACTCCTAATCCTTTGGCCACATGAAAACCAAGTCTGTGGGTTCCACAGAAATTCTCTGTAAAATGTCCATGATTTTGCGTATTATTATGGCCCATAATCAACATTTCATTATCAGGCGTGTTTCCTCACAGAGGAAAAGAAAAAATCACGAAGGTACTTGTTTCACAGTTTTACACTCCCCAATATAATACTGTCTGGAATTAGATGAATGCCCCAAAATATTTTTCTGGGAACATATACACTCCTTTATCAGAAAGGAGAGAAAAAAGAAGCAAGTAACCCTCCACATCCTGCTGCAGAAGCTGGAAAGGAGCAGGAGCTCCCCTACTGCATGCCTGTCTTTAGGTTAAAGTCTGTATGGTTCACAGGCAGCGGGTGGGCTTCCGTGTTGAACACCCAGTCCTCAAAAGACAGCACATCGTCTTCACAGAAGAGAAGATAGAGATACCTGGAACCAGGAGAGAAGAGAAGGCAAACCAGCATGAGATGCTCCTGTACAAAGCGTGTGCATGCCTTGGAACACAGCTCAAGAAAGTTATGTTTTTGGACTACAGCTCCCAGAATCTCCCAGTCAGCACTGCCCCTAGCTGTGCTGGCTAAGGGGCTGTGGGAGTTTTAATCCAAAAATGTAACTTTCCCACATCCTGTCCTAAAACACCCACCAAAGTCCTCTGCCTACTGCTGGGGTGCAGAATTCCTCAGATTAGAAATCGCATGAGAGGCGGAAGTGTTTCTAGGCAGTTAAAATTTAAAAACAAAGGTCTTTGAGAATGGCTCATTAATCCTGTTTAACTTGAAGGCTGAAGTGATCTGTTCCTTTAGTGGCAGCCTGCTGGGTAGGGGGAAGAAGGAGAAACAGAGACAAGAAGGGGCAGGCAGGGATTGGGGAGAGAGAAAGGCATACAGAAGAGGAGGACCTGTCCCCTTTGGACTCTCTCTCCATCCACTGTTGACACTACTTACTGCCAGCAAATGGCTCCACATAGACTACCCTCCAAAGGAACATGGACAGAAAAAGCCTAAAGCAGGGATAGTCCTTCAAATGTTATTGGCTTGCAGCAACGTCTGTGAATGCTTGCCTCTGGCTAAGGATGCTGGGAGGTGGAGTCCAACAACACTTGGTGGGCCACCCATTCCTCACCTTGCGTAAGACAGGCCTGGACTGCCCACTAGTGTTATATGGTGGCCTCATCAGCCTCGTCCTTTTGTTCCCTGGGGATAGAAGGAACGTGAGTGGTCAGGCTAGCTTATCACTCTCCTCACAAGCCTCAACACATGAGGGCTCATGTTTGGTTTGATGGGTCATACATTGTGTAGGCCTGATGTAAGGAGAAAGTGAAAAGTGAGGGAAAGAGCCTCTGTATAATGAGGGTCATCAAGGCTGCCTCTTCAAGGAGATGTTGGAAAAGAAATGGAAAGCGTCATTTTTACCCTTAAGAATGATTTCTGCAAAGGCCCTCTTGTCCACTAACTCATTTAAGTCATTCAGTCATGATTTCATTAGGGTGTTTCGATACTTCAGTGTGAATTAAAAGTCTTAGTTACTCAAGTGCTCTTTAATCTCGCACGGCTCTCATTACATTACACTCTTTGGCTACTGTATTGGCTTTCTGCTTGCTTTCAGCGCGTGGCTGAGTACAACGACCTATTCCTTGTCAGGAGTTAAATTTTCAGTTCAAATTGGAAAAAACATTTGTTACAAAGACAAAGGGTGATTAACAACAGGATGAGACTGTAGGATAAGACCTTCCTAGTAGCAAACTGTGTATGCTGTAATTTTGCATAGCATCATTCCTTTGCACCCCATGTGACCTAGGTGGAAGCTGTGTCCTAGGTTAGACAAATCTGAAGGGTGGGCTTTCCAATCCCCAGCAAATGAACAGAAGGGAAAGGATGGGTGGGCTGGAGGGGAGCTGAGCCTCCTACAATTACTAGTCCTATCAACACACCCATCTGAAGGAAGGATTTCCTTTCTCCTGCTGCAATTAGTTGCACCCTTTGGAGAGCATTTTGTTGTATTGAATAGGATCAAGGAAGGCAAACCTTTGTCCCTCCAGATGTTCTGGACTTCAGTGCCCAGAAACCTTAAGCCAACCAT